CGGAAGTCGAAGCGCGAAGTGGCGAGGGTTCACTGTACTCTCCTATAATAGTCACTATTGGTCTATCATATTTCATTAATTCTTAGAAGTAATTTTCTTTTACATTTCAACTTCTTTTTGAAATGTGATTATTGTTATTATATTAAATCAGCTGAGTTATAATAGTTTGCCTTCTGGAATAAGGTTAATAAAGTTAATTTTTAAAAATGTTGACTTCAAATTAAAAAAAGTTTAATATTGAAACAAATAGCTAAAATAATCATATATACCAGCAAATTTAGCATTTATTAGTTTTTTAATTTTTCACATTAACAAGTAGAGCATTTGGTAATTCAAGATTTGCTTTGCTTGTCCATCTAGTAGAATGAAACTATTTTGAATGACTTTTCATTTTTATTTGCTATAATTATATTCCATAATTTTATTATATGCATTAATTAGTGTCTTTCCATAGAAAGAACCTTACTATTTTTTGTTTAATGTTTACCTTATTAAACTTGTTACAGTGGAATTTAGTGGAAATTGACCAAAGTTCTTATCAATAGACTCCTCAGCTTCTTTCTTTATTGCCATGTTCTTCTTACCTGGGATAGCAGCGGTGGAAGGGGCAAAGCCTCCTAGTGGTGCAGATCTCAATGTGGGAGCCGGTCCGCTGGCATCACCTAGTAGAGTAGGCGCTCACCGTGGATGTTGGCCTGGGCATTACTAGCCAGACCAGAAAAGTGCAGCATTTTCTCCAGCTGCTTTAAGGAGAGCATTGCTCTTTTCACTGTCATGCAGGATAAGGGACAAGTCCATGCAGGTGAGGCCAGAGACAGAAGGCTTCTGTGCAGACAAGTAGCAGGCTGCTGCTACTGGGTATTCCTTATGAAGTGAGGCTCTCACCCGAACGTGGCCTTCTCGTCTTCAGAACCGAGCACCTTAGCATGAGTTGAGGAAACTCACTTGTTTATTCTTATGATGTTGTATATTTGAAATAGGTTTATATGTTTTCAAAGATATTAAATTTTAATTGTACAAGTTTTTAAAAGTGGATCTTATAGTAATACTTAAAAATATTGTATTGTGAATTCAGTGAAAGTTTACAGAGAAAATAATGAATTTATATTCAACAAGTCATAAATGTTCTGTTTCAGCTCGTTCATTAAAATCCCTTCAGTGTTAGCAGCATCCACCCATCTCCTCCCTGTGTTTTCTATTGCCATTCTCCCTCCTTTCCTGACCCTTCAGAACCCTTCCCTCTTTGGGCAAATGCTGCCCCCTTGATCCCATTGGCCTCTAATTTGGGTGAAAATTGAACCACAGATGAGTTCATTTTGAGATCTGTAGGATGGCCAAGGGCCATGGTGTCAGAGGTGCCACCTATGTCTGTATGACTGGCAAGCCCGACCTCCATCATGATTCTCTTTCCCGACTCTATCCAGGATCTTCTTATGCCATCTCTTTGTTGGCTTGGTCCTTTAGTCTCTTGGACTAATTATTCCCGTATGTGTTTAATTGTCATTACTCTTCTTTACTCCAGACAGCGAGAGATCAATAGTTGTACCTTAATGTCCACAGAAGCTTTTAAGACCCCAGTTGATAGTCACAGAAAAATTTTGTGAATGATATTATGCCATTTGACATTGATGTCCTATCAGATTATGGTTTTAAGCTCCCAGACCTAGCAATTTATTTTTCCAGGGTTCCTGGTTATATCTTGGAAGTTTTTGTAACTTTACCCCCTGTGTTTCACCACATCACCAGATATCCAGACTCACGGCCTTAGTGGTGGTTTCGACTCATAAGGAGCCCTGGTGGCATAGTGGAGTACGCATAGCGTAAGCAGTTTGAAACCACCAGGCCTTCAACTGCAGGGGAAAGGTGAGGCTTTCTGCTCCTGCAAAAATTTACAACCTCAGAAACTCACAGGATTTATATTCCCCACTCTTCCACGCTCACCGAGCCTACTTGTCTATCCATGCACCTACCTGTAGATCACCACTACTACAGGATTGTGGATGTAATAGTATTTACCTCTGTTGCCTGTAACTCCTGCATTCTCCCATTATCCTCCTCTCCCCATCATTCTTTGCCATTCTCCCCTTCTTCCTGGTTCTTGAAATCCATTTGACTTCTCCATCTGAATGTTCTGTAACTACTCTATTCCCTCTTTTTACTTTGTAATTGTCTTCATTCCACAAATAACCCAAACTCATTTTCATTGAGTCAATTCCAGCTCATAGTGACTGGACATATAGGACAGAGTAAAACTGGGTTTCTGAAACTGTTAATCTGTGTCTAATGTCTACCAGTACCAAGCTATTTTGATGATGATGGCTGTATAGTAGGTTTTGAGGCTGGGAAGTGTCAGGCCTGCTACCCAGCATCCCTTCCTTTCCATATAAAGTTGGTGATTGGTATTTCCTTCTCTTTGGAGAATGGTGTTGGAATCTGAACCTGAATTGCATTTTATCTGCATATTGGGAGTGTTGCCTTTTTCATAAGTCCTTCTATGTATAAACGTGATATATTCGTCCATTTAAGTAGGGCTCTTTTTGCCTTCTTGCAGTTGCGTTTTATAGTTTTCTATGTATGTCTTTCATATTCCAGGTGAGATTTATTCCTAAATATTCCATCTTTTGCCATTATTGTAAATGACATTGATTTATTGATTTCCTTTTCAGAGTTATTGTAGAGGAATCAGACTGATTTTTGCATGTTAATCCTGTACCCTCCCACTTTGCGCAATTCTTCTTCAAGTTCTAGTAGCTTTCTTTTAGAATGTCTGGAATTTCTCAAATATCTGCAAGTAGAGGGATGCTTTTACTTCCACTTTACCAATTTGGATGCCTTTCCCTTTCTTACATAACTGCTCTGGCTAGACTTCCAGTATAATGTTGGATGATAGTGGCGATGGACATCTTTGTCTGATTCCTATTGTGAAGGGGATGCTTTCCGTCTCTCTATTGAGAATAGTGTTGACTCTTGGTTTTGTGTAGAAGTAGTTGGTAGGTTTGGACAGCTGACCTTTTGGTTAGTAGCTGAGCACGTAACTACTGCACCAACAGAGCTCTTCATTTGCTACAGCTACCTTCAAATAAATGTGGTTAGAATCGTCCCAGAGACATCTTTCTACCTTTATTTATTAATTAAGTGAATTAGCTGGTGAAAAGTAGATAATAAGCTACTTTGGGTTTTCTTTTTTTTTTTTCCTTTAATAGTTTATTTTTTTTAATCGTTTTATTAGGGGCTCATACAACTCTTATCACAATCCATACATACATCAATTGTGCAAAGCACATTTGTACATTCATTGCCCTCATCATTCTCAAAACAGGTTTTATTTTTCAACAGCAATTAATTCATACAGTTTATATTGAAGCAATACAAAACATTGTTGAATATGTCAGCAAAATGTTTAGAATGAAAGGTCTAAGTCAAATAAGCTATCATCAAATGACATAATATTTCGTTGCTACTCTGCACTTGATCTTAGCCAAAAGGCCGAGAAGCAATGTGGCTACTCTCTGAATTGAGGATTTTTACTTCCTTTTCCCCACTCCAGGTGGCGTTATTAAGTTAATTGTTGAGTTAAATTGGTAATCATTTTCTACACTCTCCTTTTATTAACAGGAGCTCTGGAGGCATAGTGGTTATTTGCTGGGCTGCTAACCTCAAGGATAGCAGTTCAAAATCACCAGTTGCTCCATGGGAGAAAGATGAGGCTTACTATTTCTGTAGAGTTATAGTCTTGGAAACATATAGGGCAGGCTTCTACTCTGTCCTGTAATGTCACTGTGCACCCGGATTGACTCGATGGCAATGAGCTTTTTTATTTTGGGGTTTTTACATTTATTAATACTTATATATAGAATGTGAAATATTCCAAAATTTTACTATCTTGGCCTTTTTTCATGTAAACTCTTTTGAGACCACTCTGATCATGTTTATAGTTTATTTCATTTATTTTATAGGTCTGTTGACTCTTACATCCAGGAGTCTTTTCAGCCCTTGAAGCTATTGGTGAAACAGTCGTACTCAAATGAATTTCCTTGTATGTAATTCACATGTTGAGCTTGTGTTCTAACCTTTCAGTTATTCGACAGAGAAGAGAAGCAGATGTTGCGCTGTTTTCAGAACTGCACAGAAAACTTCATTCACAGGTATCGAACACTTACTCTTGAAAGTTCCGCTCTTGATGAAGATAGTGATAGTGGTATGGGAACAGTTGAATATTTTTTGTGGAATCAAATTAAGATAAAAAAGGTTAATGGCGTTAATTTCTGGACAATGTGTACTCCTAAATTTTGATGTTAGAACTAAGAATACTTAGTTGTATTTAATGCTAAATTGTTTTTAAGGAAGGCGGAAGCTAATTGGAAAAAATAAATCAGAATTATATACATCTTAAACTTATTTTGTTCATTGAGTTCTAATTTGTTCTTCTATATTGAATAACTTAAAAACCTGTGTCTACTGGCCATCGTTGTTCAGACATTTGTTAGGAAACTCCCAAGGTTCTTGGAACTTGGATCCTCAGAACTGAGAGGCTCCTGATGATGTTGGGGGTTGAACGACTTTCCAAGGGGTCGCCCAATTCATAACAGTAACAAAATTACAGTGATGAAGTAGCAATGGCAATGATTTTATGGTAGTGGTGGTGGAGGCTGTCACCACAACATTAAAGGGTCACAGCACTAGGAAGGTTGAGAACCTAGTGGGTTATATGTTGGGCGGTTAACTGCAAGGGCCAGCAATTCTAAACGACCAGCCGTTCCGAGTAGAAAGATGACATTTTCTACACCCATAAAGATTTATAGCCCATGATCCCGATTCTGCCTTACAAATCTGGCTAGACTAGAGGATGTACACTGGTATAGGTAGGAATCAGAAACACAGGGAATCCAGGGCAAATGATCCCTTCAGGACCAGTGGTGACAGTGGTGATACCGGGAGGGTGGAGTGAGGGTAGGGTGGAAAGGGGGAACCGATTACAAGGATCTACATGTAACCTCCTCCCTGGGGGACGTACAACAGAAAAGTGGGTGATAGGAGATGTTGGACAGTGTAAGATATGACAAAATAATAATTTATAAATTATCAAGGGTTCATGAGGGAGGGGGAATAATGAGCTGATGCCAGGGGCTTAAGTGGAGAGCAGAGGTTTTGAGAATGATGAGGGCAATGAATGTAGAAATGTGCATTACACAGTTGATGTATGTATGGATTGTGATGAGTTGTATGAGCCCCCAATAAAATGATTAAAAAAATAAAACACACACACACACAAAAAATAAAACACAATATTCAATAAATAAATAACATACAATTTACAGTCTTGGAAACCCAGTAGTGCAATTCCACTCTGCTCTATAGGGTTGCTCTGAGTCAGAATTGGCTCAATGGCAGTACGTTCTTATTTTTAAATACTTCTGTCTATTCACAGCCATTCATAGACATCTGTTTTTCATATATATTTTCTCTTCTGATGATAATAACTATCTATTGCCAAAAAGTTAACCTAGGTGTCATCTTGACAGTTTGCTTCACCTCCCTTCTCAACACTGAAATCTGTCCTCAGTTCTTAACTGATTGCTCCTAAGTCTCTCATTTGTCCCTGGAGTGCCAGCTGAATTTCGCATGGACTCCTAGTGTATACCTTTGAGATTTAAATAAGTTGATCACTTTTGTTTCTCTTATTTATGGAATGAAGTGAATAAATCCAGTGTCATAATGCTGTCTTCAGCTTAAACTCCAAATTTCTTGGTATAGAATAACAGGTCCCTTTTGATATGACCTTTCATTTGATTTTCAAATTTTATTCTTATTCCTTGGCTTTAGCGAAATTTATGTATTTCTTGGGAAAGCTATACCTGTTCACCTTCTTTATTCATCACCTTATTTTCCTAAGGGGTACAGATCTCCTCTGGAATTTTTTTCATGATCCTCTGAATCTGGATTGGGTGATACTGCTTTATCATAAAAATCTGTTTTACTCTATCACATAATTTAATATTCTGCATTAAACGATCCGTTTGTCTACTTTCCGCTAAACTGAGGACTACTTCAGGACTGGCCCCTTTTGTTACCCTTGTTGCTCTAAATGAGGAGTTTGTTGAATTTCTTAAAAATCATGTGAGCCAATCTTTACTGTCAAACAATAACTTAAATACCTAGTAGAGGAGCGCTGGTGTAGTGGTTATGCACTCGGCTGCTATCCACATGGTTGGTAGTTCAAAACCACCAGCAGCTCTTCAGGAGGAAGAGTGGGCTTTCTGCTCCCATAAAGAGTTATAGTCTCAGAAACCCATAAGGGGTTACTGAGTCAGCACTGACTGGAGGGCAATGAGTTGAGAAAAAACTTTAAAAAAACCCCAAACTCACAGTGACTACTTTCTATAATTAAGACTTTGTGTAATGTAGGTAACCATTCCATAATTTGGTTTGCAAATAAAGGAATTGTAAATGCTAGCCTTCTCATCCAAAAAGGAAGGCTGTCAGAATAGAATAGAATGCTTGAGAAGTGCAAGATAAGCATATTGAGGGTTGGCTACTATTGTGTGAAGTCATGTTCGAGATTCATAGTTGGAAATTAAAGAACTTTATATAATAAACTTTATATAGGAACCTCAGCATTATTTACCCTAAAACAGAGTGGTTCAAAGCCAAATCGTGAGTTTAAGAATTCACGAGGCAGAGATTTGTATCTTGCATATTCGATTCTTTTTAAAAAGTAATGTGTTTTATGGCCTAAATGAGACATCAGTGAGGTAGGGGGGAAAATCACATATTTTATGTCATTTTTCTTCAAACCAGTATGCTTGGAAAGTTGGTTATTAGACATTATGTCAGAAAGAGACAATACTGCTATTCAAGAATAGGATAATTTAGAAATTATTCTCTTAAGGGACACTGTAGTAGTTCACAGGGCTAACGGTTCTAACGTGTTTGAGACTGTACCTATTTATTGACTTCTGATGTACGTACTTTTGTGCTGCTTGTAAAATGAACACAACTAGGTTTGATGTTACCATGTGAGTTTTAAAATACTGTTCTATTTTAGGAGAAATATAATTTGGAAGAAAGGTTTATTAAAGTGGAGATAGTAAAGAACTCTTTAAATGTTTTCTTTTTCTTTAGGGAGTTTTGAAAAATAAATGGTCAATACTCTACCTCCTACTAAGCCTTAGTGAAGACCCACGTAAGCAGCCAAACAAGGTAAGTGGCCTTATTTTGGCAGCATAGAGTCTTTAAAAAAAAAAAAAAAAAGACACTGTCTTGTTGGGGGAATTATACCAAATTTTGGTAAAAATCAGATTTTGTAGTTAGAAAATATGAGAAAAGCAAATATTTACCTAGTTTTCAAGATAGTCTAGACAGGTCAAGAGGTGTCTTTTTTTTTATTTTAGTGTTTTAATTAGTGGGCAGCATTTCCTAAATGTGTTCCAGAATTGTGTTACTACGCTAGGTATGAAAATATGCCATAAAATAGAGCATACATTATTAGCTTTCAAGACTTTCACTTTGTAAAGTTATTAGTATTAGCACAGATAGATCATTCTTTAAGAATTAGAAGATCCTTTAGATTGTTCTTGTGCTTTCAGTTAACATTGTGAAAATCAGTTCCTGTTAATATCAGTGACATCTTCCAGTTGCCGCACAAGAATCATCTATGTCACATGCAATATTTGGAAGAAACATATTGGCTGTTCTATACTTCACAGAATCTAAGATACTCTTATTACTAAAATTTCAGTCTTAAAAATTTAAGTATGTGGGTAGAAAAGTGACATTCATTTCTAAAGCTTAATCTGATTAATGAGCATCTGTTTTCTTTATAATAATGCTAAAGTTTTAGCAATTATTTGAATTTTATAATGGTTTAGATAGAGCAGGGGTCCCCAAACTTTTTAAACAGGGGGCCAGTTCACTGTCCCTCAGACCCATTGGAGGGCCGGACTATAGTTTAAAAAAACTATGAACAAATTCCTATGCACGCTGCACATATCTTATTTTGAAGTAAAAAACAAAACGGGGCAAAAACACCCAGCAGGCCAGATAAATGTGCTTGGAGGGCTGCATGTGGCCCGCGGGCTGTAGTTTGATGACCCCTGGTTTAGAGTCTAAATCAGTGAAGTATTTAATTATTTGGACAATGGTAACAGTTGTTGATATTTAGAAAATCTTATAAAGCTTTATCAGTTTGACCCCTGGCAGCATAGTGGCTATGTGTTGGGCTGCTAACCGGTAGACTAGCAGTTCAAAGTTATCAGCCACTCTGTGGAAGGTAGAAGGGGCTTTCTACTTGCAGAAAGAGTTACAGGTATACGAAACTCAGCGGGGCAGTTCTAAGAAGCTTATCCTGTAGGGTGACTATGAGTCGGCATCATCTCAATGGCAGTGGGTTTGGATTTGGTTTTATCAGTTTTGGTATACTTTAAATATATAATAATTATATAATGAATACAAACTCTAGTTACAGAAACTGAAAGAAAATAGGATGATTAACTTTGTTGCTTTGGGGAAAATATTATATAATTTTATACCTCCATATTCCTAATGTACTTTCATTTTATTTTAAGATTTCTACCTATGCCGCATTATTTGCTCAGGCATTACCAAGAGATGCTCATTCAACTCCATACTACTATGCTAGACCTCAGACTCTGCCCTTGAATTACCAGGACCGAAGCACCCAGTCAGCCCAGAGTTCTGGCAGCATGGGAAGCAGTGGAATCAGCAGCATAAGCATGTATGCCCTCAATGGCCCAACACCGACCCCACAGTCTCTCCTTCCTGGGTAAATGCAAGCTTTCCGTGCATAGAACCAAAAAGGTCTCAGAGTTTTAATCAGGCATTTTGCGTTTGTTAACAATATCTCTACGCCCTCCGATGTGCCGCGTGTATTGCCATTTCTTTTTTATCCTGACAGTTGAGGATAGAAAAGAGGTTTTGAGAATGATGGGTGTTAATTTTGAAGGTAAGATTAGGAATGCATTTCACAGTGGTTTTAGGAGGGTAATGCATTTTAGGTAATTGTAAAGAAAAGTCTGAATATTTACGATGTAAGAAATATGTCTAGCAATCAGATGATTTCCTAGCAGTCAGATCACTTTGGTACCCAGTGTTTTAGCTGAATGAATTTGACAGCACTATAAAAGGGAATAAAATTTTGTGTTTGAATGTTAGGTTAAGGGTTTCAAGGAGGCTGGACATTTTTGAAGAACTTAAAATGGATTGTTTTTATGTGTTTTTAGGTTGTGTCATCTATTTGAGATTTATAAATTCATGTGTTTCAACGTGGTAATGTGAAGAAAAAGTCTAGAAACTCTAGCATGTGAACTCAAAGATATAAAACGCTCTTTCACTCTATCAGACAGCCCCATCAAGTTCCCGGAGTAGGAGATTACCGTCGACAGCAGTTGGGGTCTCGTCTTGCGTGGACTTTAACTTCCAACCAGCTTTCTTCACAAACCTCGACCGCAAAAGGAGTTCCTGACACCATCTCTCGGAACCTGACGAGGTCCAGGAGAGACGGGGATGCAAGTGGTGAGGAAGGGTATAGTTTAAAGTAACTTTTTTTCTTGGAACATTTAGAGTTCACACTTCTTTCTTAATTTTGAAATACTGATCAAGGAATTCCCACTTGGAACTTTTTCATGATTTCTTATTCTTCTTATGCTACTGTCCCAAATCCCTTGTATAGTCTAGCTTTATTACTTTATCATCCTTCCGTGGCTCTATGAACTTCAGCAAGAAACTCCTTTTATTCCTCAACTGCTGTCCCTTGATTTCTTTGCCTGGATTATTCTTTTTTTCCTCTTGCTTGCATATCAAATTTCCCTTGTCTAAATTTTATTCTGCCTTTAACCCCCTGGGAAAGCCTCTCTGATTTTGGTTAGGTCGCTCTATTAAATTGTATACCATCTCCCATTTCTATGCAGTTCATGGATTTAGTACAGAATCCAACATCTATTGAAGAAGAAATTCGATAAATCTGCATTCCATGGGTTAATAAATATTTTCGTGCGAGTTTGAAAGCCTGCTTCTCTTCTAGAAGGAAGATTGAGTTTCCTTTTCCTCCTTCCTTCCTCGAGGATATTAGGAATTAGCGATGTTTGAAATAGAAGTATCTTCAAAAAAAGTGACCCGGATTACTGGTTCCTAATGTGCACATGCTGAAACCCCTCTTGATAGAATAGGCTTGATTATAAAGATGAAGACCGTTAGCCTTGAGCCCTTACCCTCAGCATAGTCGTCAGCGTCTGCCAAAGTCTTCTTTTCCCTCCAGCTAGCTCCCATGTACCAGCTTTCCTCTGTCCATGTTCGCAACACCGTGTGTCATTTCTAATACCTATGAGTTCTTAGAATTAGAATGTCAGTTTCTAGCCCGAGTCAGGATACTATTCTCTGCTTTTATCTTTTTGTTTGCTGTGATTTCTGATAATGCCTTCACACCGATAGTATATACAAAACTTTGAGGTAAGATAGACTTATAATTTTGATTAATTCAAAAGAAGGCAGGTGGGGACGTACGGAAAAAAGTAGAGTTAATAGAACACGACAATAAGGAAGATTTTAAGCCCAGACACATCAGTAATTAGCATTAAATGTAAAATGATTAAAACCTTCACAGGCAATTAACAAAATTCATTCAGAAAACTGTGATATATTTTTTTACTCAATTTATTGGGGCTCATACAATTCATCACAATACGTAGATCAATTGTGTAAAGCACATCTATACATTTGTTGCCCTCATCATTCCCAAAATTCACTTGCCTCTTGGGTTCCCGGAATCAGCTCATTTTCCT